GTGAAAGATCAAAATATCCAGGTTTTTCATTATAGAATTGACGGAAATAAGGTATTAAATACTTAACGGGTTAAAATTTTTTTTCTATTACGATTATTTACGCTCAAGTTACTTATCAGGAACCATTTATTGAAATCGAGCAAAAAGAAATTAGCAATGCTTTAGTTAAAGTTTTAGGTAAATTTAACTTAAAATATTTTCACTTTGCATTCTATTAAATTTTTTTTGTATATATAGACATAAGAAATCATCCAGGTATTTAACATAAATTAACATTAGTAGATCTTTTTGTTATTAATACACCTATGAAAACTTGTGTTTGTTCTTTTCAGTATTGATACATTGTAATAAAGGAAAGGTGGGTGTGTATTATTACTTTCTTATCTGTGATTAGACTTACTAAATTTAAATATCTATAATGTATATATAATAAAATAGCATAGAATAGGCTGTTTAGTAGGTTGCCTTCGTAAGTTACAAAAATGGTCGTTGACTTCGATTTTTCATGAATATCGACGGTTTGCCGTTACAAAAGTTCTAGCGGATCAAGAAGTAAATTTCTTTTTTGATTATACATTTCAAATTAAAAAGCTCTATTTCAAAAATTTTAATGCTTGCATAATTTTAGTTTATTGAAATATTTTCAGAACATGTACCATATGACCCTGAATTTAAACCCGATTGGCTATAAGTAATAAAGATACATATATGTATGTATATTTATAATATTTTTCACTATGTGATAAACCAGAAAACACCCGAATCAAAGCAACAATAATCTATATAACAAACCACTTTGGAGTACAGGAATACCAGTCCATGTCTGTTTAATTTTTTAAATGAATAATCATCAATATATTGTAAGAAACAGAGTCTTAATTAATTAATTAATAAGAATATACCAAAGTTTTCTCTCGGATCACAATGACATCTTCCAGTATCATGATATTCCTTTTCCGTCGGACAGTGTTGAAATGGTATATGATAATATGCTATATCGTTGAAAAAATGGACTTTTGATTTTTGAGCTAACAACGCCACGGCTATCGAATGAACTGGCGCATCTCCCCAACTTTTTTAACATAAAGATTGTCATATTAATGAAGCATTGCGAATATATAATTGATGGAAAAATTATTAAATTATATTTTATTGTGGCAGTCAATGTAGCATTACAACAATTTGGCAATGCAAAATTTAGTAAATTAATTTTACCATCAATTGCAATTGAAATATGTTAATTAAAAAAATAAAATTATGCCATACCGTTCATAGAAAAATCCTCCTAACTTGTCTAAATGATTAAAAAAATCTCGGTACGGGTCACTTCTCCAAAAATTTAAATCACCAATTTCAAAGTTACTCCAAAAGTGACATCTTTTGTCAAGGATATGAGGCAGATGATAATTAATATTTCATTTTAATGATTAATTTGTTTTAGTTCATTACTTACAGATTGTAAGTTTCTCCATTATCATTACTAATGAATTTCATTATATTGTTCTCCTTAATATGATGTGGATATTCTTTTATAAATTGTTTTACGGCATCCCAAAGTGTAGGAATGGTAGATTCATATTCCTTTAAACTAATCGTAAATCCATAAACTAATTTGTTCTTTTGCATAAATAAAAATGGATCATAATCGATGTCGCACATAAATTTAACAGAAGGTTCTAATCTCCAATAATAATCAAAAGGTAATAGCAGTTGATGTTGAAAGAAAAACCCTGAATTGAATCTACACATATGCCGATATGATTCTGATCCACCATATATTACACCTTTTGATGACATTTCTGAGCGACTTTCAGCAGCTTTTGTTTGATTTATCCATGACGGATAACTCCACATATGTTCTGGAATTTTTCCTTCAATAAAAAATAAAAAAAATAAAAAATTATTAAACATATTACTAACTAGAGTTTGGAACCGAATTCGATTTAAATTCGGATATAAAACCGAATTTATTGAATCTGCAATACTCATATTATCTGTCTAAATGCATAGAACAAAAGTGTTCGACCACCTATGAAATTTCTATAATTTTTGTTCTTATATGATTGAATATTTTGTCATCGATGTATGTATGTATGTATGTATGTACGTATGTACGTACGCACGTACATACTATCGTTATTTTTTTTGAATTAGTAATTGTTGGAATAAATTCTGATTTCAATTTAATACTAATTAATAAATTCGAATTCAAAAACAAAAGCAGGTTCCAAATTCTATTATTAATTAATAAATCATATATAAACATTTACCATAATATGTTTTTGATTTTGTCAATGCTGATGTTTTAATTTTAAACTCTTCGGTAAAATCTACATCATTTAGAAATACATACGGATAATTATATTTTCTATTCCATCTGTCCTCAAGTTGTCTTATTGATTCCAATAATTGGTATAACTCTAAATTTCTAACCAATACTACGACCGCAGCATTCGCTCTTGTAGTATTATAAAATAATGTTAAGTCTTTGTTTGGATTAATCCACTCTCTATCAAAAAAACTTTTTCGAGGGTCTAATGTTATGCGCTTCAACAATAATATAAAAATAATTAATAAGAGTATTACAGCAACGCGCACACATAGAAAAGTTAAAGAGCATCTTATTGACGATAAATTCATATTCGGTTTTGATTGTCGATTTTGTAAAGAATATTACGTATGATTAAATTAAGAATTGCCTTAAATAATATTACATTTTATTATCACATGATTTTCAATGTTACGTAAATATGTAAATTAAACCACTTAAGAAAAAACCTTTGTCGGCTATTTGCCAGCGTTGGCGGGACATGGACAATATGGACCAATGGATATGGATTATGTCCATATTTTTTATTGGACATAGACACTTAGTCCAAATGTTTACTATTGGACATAGACGCTTAGTCCAAATGTTTATTATTTCGAACGTAAAATATGGGCAACATTTCGAAAGATTTTGACAAAGAAGACATGAGTGAACCATAAACCGTCACTACATCAGGATACTTACATTGATCAATATACAAATATGAACATGGACACTATTTGAATTAGTCCATGTCCAAATATTGCTATTTGCAGAAATTTAAGTAAAATTGTTTAAATGTTTTAAAGTTTAAAACAATTAGCATCAACCAATCAGATCGTAATAAAAAAAAAATTCCTTGCAAAATTTCGGTATAGCAAGAGGGATGTTCTTTACTAATACTATGCTCTAATCCTATTTTAATGCTAACCACCAGTGATAGAACCTTAGAGCTTTTAGTTAATAATAAAAAAAATTAATAATTAATTATTATCACGGCTGATGCTGAATTTTGGGGTCTTAATTTGGATCCATTACACCTACTAAAACCCACATATACTCTTTTATTAACAATTATAACCCTAAATTCTAGTTTATTACAAAAAAGCTAAAAAAATACACCCAAAAAATTATAAAATTTTATATCAAAGTA